AATATTAGTGTATGCAGGGAAAAAGGATCTACAAAATGGATCACTAATGTCCCTAATGATCTCTATATAGAGGCAGATAATGTCTTCAAGGGGTTCAAGAGTGTTATGACCACCGGTCTGTGGCAGAGCCTCCACTGGTAGTCTCTGCTGCTATGCTGATTTACATCATTTGAGTGTCCAGCCTACCAACTGAAGAGCTAATGTGTTTTCACAAATACTAAATACTAGTGCTTCCAGTCTGATTTTGTGAGGACATCACTCCCCAGCAAAGGGAAAAAATGCCACCTTTAAACTATAAAGAACTTTTGCCCTGACTAAACCAAGTGTCAGCCATCAATATGTTTTTCAGATGGCTTCACTTGCAGATGGGAATTTATTTCCTACAGAGTTGAGGTCAACAGGAAAAAAAGATGAAAAAAAAAAAATTCCATAATGCCCCAAAACATGGCTTTAACAGAAAACCAGAGAAATTCATTAAAATAAAAGTCTTGAGTTAAGCAAGGACATTGCCCATTTGGGAAGGCAGAAGATCTCAGTAGCAGGACTTTCCAAAACACTTGTGCCTCTGGCAAAATGAGCAAAGTGCTTCACCATGGTCTCCACATTATGGTAAACAGACCTCCCACGTAGTATCATTTTATGTCGCTGGTATCTGCAGTGCTGGAACAGCCTAGGGATGGGAGAAAAGCCAGCATTTCTGCACGCTTCCTGCGTCCTGGGGATCGCAGCTGTGAAGTACAGCAGGGCGCAATTTCTGTTGCATCTCTCAAATATAGTCCTGAATGCAACTTCTGTCATTAAGAAATATTTCCTAAACAGACTCCATACCCCCACTTTCCATCTGATAATCATCTCCTTGTGTTTGTGGTAAGTCAACATCCTTCATCTTTGCCTTATGAGGAAAAGCTATGGCTGTGAGCACTCCAAAATTCCCTCAGCGTTTGCAGATCCCTACGATAACAAACAACAGAAAGCATCTAACACGCTTTTTTCCTTTCCTTACAGAGACAAGCACTTTACTCAAAAGAGAGCAGCTCCCATACCAGCTTTCTGCCTGTGCTATCTACTAAGTTACAGCACATGCTTATCTTTCAAGTTTGGCAATGAAGAGAGGAGGTGCATGATGCAGCACCATCCGTTTCTGGCTGTTGGGGGGAAGGAAAGGGCAGAGTTTGTATACCCCAATGTCACCACACGCCATGAGAAAACACCAGTGGGTAGCCTTTATTTCCCTTCCGCTATGAGGTGTTTGGAGCAAACTCAGCCACCTTCCTTGAATGCAGCATCTCAATGGAGTCCCTGGAGTCACTCATATGCGCTGCTGTGTAATGGAGGGGGTCTGGCCCGATGCTTGTGTTCCTGGGGTAACTGAGCAATGCTGAACACGCACACTCAAGGTCTAGGGGGGCACTGGACTAAGCTTAGCAATTTGTTCCACCATCTTCACTCAGGCAAAGCTTTCAGTGATTTATAGCGGTGTGGAGAGAGGGCCTAAGCTGTAGCCTCATTTAAATGTTCACATGCAATTGTTTTTCCTGGAGCTCTGAATAAAGTGTCATCACACTTCTCAACAGGGAAAAGATTTTGGATAAGCTTTTCAGAGAAGCTGAAGAAATGCCCTCCAGACACACGATTGTTAAGCCCGACTTCAGTTTTGTTACCCGAGCTGCCTTTGGCAGCCACGTTTTCGGTCTCTCCCTGTTTTCCTCACCACTCCCCGCTCCTCAGAGGGGGGGGTCAGTGCCCTGTGACGCTGGATGGGCCCCAAGGAAAGGCTGCTTCCTCACGCCTGCCTTCCCTGTTAGCAGCGGCAGAGTGCTGGGTGCTATACAGAAAGGACCCAGGGAAGCCATGCGGAGCCAAATCTACACAGCGACAGGGAATGGAGATGGGGAATAAGGTCATCTGCTAGGAAGTGGCACGGGGACAGCAGTGGTATTTTCTTACTTCTTCCTCTCATATACACCTTTCCTATAGCTCACTACAACTGACCGAGACCATGAGACCCATCCTGTTTTTCACTGTGAAAACAAAGAGGAGCAGGGAGGCTTAAGGCTGGGAGAGAGTGGAGTTGATTTAGGAAACATGAGACAAACAGCAAGAGAGTAACAGGGAAAAGAGAGAGGGTAAGGAAACGAAAGAGAAGTAAGAAAGGACCATGGAGCTCAGGAAAAGGTTTGTGGAAGAACAGAAAGCATGGGGGGAAGAGCAGCATCAAAGAAGGACAAGCAAGAGAATGGGGAAAGAGAAAAGTATGGCTACAACAATGACAAAAACCAGAAAGAGTTGGAAGACATTTTGAAGGTGGCCACAGAGTGGTTTGAAAGGGTGTGAGTGGGAAAGAGGAAATGCAAGAAAGGGAACCAGCATGATGAGCTACATGATCTTATTGCACAGAAAACAGAAAGCAAAGTGCTAACGTGCACCCAAACACTGAGGGGAACCTTGGCCTTACCAGAGCAAAGGGGACATGGATGCCACGGGACACAATTTCACCCTTTGTGTTAAAGGCACCGATGGGTTGTGTGAGAAAGCACTGATCACTCCTGAAGGTACAGTTTCCCTTCCTAATATCTCCATTGCTTCTGAAGGAATTCAGTACTTCACACTCCTACACTATAATATGAAGCAGGTTGCGATTTTTTTAGCTGCAAAGGGGGGATATTCCCCCCCCCCTTTCCTCTATACACATCAGGCCTATCCCTACAGGCACAAAGGATTTATTCTTCCCTTTACAAATTACTTTACCAGCTGAGGAACTGCAATAGCTGCCAAACCCCCCAGAAGCCCGAGACCTCTGCCCCATCCCAGCAAGGACTGAAACGAGGGAGGGGAGAGAGGAAGCGAGTTATTTTGAAGCAAGTGCTGGGGGGGGACTGCAGGAGCAAGCAGAGCCTGGCCTCAGAAAAGCTAGCAAGTGCTCGTGTAGCATGAGCCATTCCCTTCACTGTGCTAGGGCAGAGCTACCCGGGAGCCTGTGTGGGGAGGGTGAACACTGTTGGTGAGAGCCCTCACCACTTTTTCCTCCAAACCATTTGTAATTAAGAGCCGGCACATGAGCAAGTGTAAACACCCCCAGCAAAATCAGAGGTTGAACCAGGTTTTGGTTTGGCTCCAGTTCTGGTTTGGGTTTGCCTGTGACCAAAGTTGTTCTCTCCCAGTCCTAGTTCAAGTTCAGCCAAGGTTTCTGACTTACAGCCCTGGCTCAGGCCTCGCTCGAGGAAAAATCTGGAACAAGTTTTCTGCCTGACTCTGCTGTATGTGTGTGTGAGCAAAGCTGGTCTTCTTTGCTTGCTTGTCCCAAAAAATGATGAATTGCAGAAGTACCCATTTGGTGTTAGTCATTCGGTGAAGCAGGAAGGAAGCAGGAAACCCTTGTGAGCACTAACTTTTCAAAGCAGCTCGCAGAGAAAGCCAAGGCCCTCCTCCCCTAGGCTACATTGCTGCACGCTGCTCTTTACCTCCTCACCTTAACGGGCACCTAGTCACAATTAACATTTGCAACACATTCAGCCGGAAATATTTGCCCGGTGCAAACAGCTGAGGCATTCGGCATCAGCCTTTTCTCTGTGCAAGGCGTATTAAAAAGGGGGAGGGAAGAGGAGCCCTACACTTGCTGAATGGGAGAGGCCCGATTGCGCTCAACAGGTTCAGTTCACGCTGTGACCCTGCCCGGCTTCCTGCTATTCAGATGTGTTACTTCCCCTTTGTGGTAATGGCCTGTGGCAGCCAGCCAGAAAACACTATTAATTTCAGAAGTGGCCTGACAACAAACCCACAGCGAAATGAGAGGAAGTGGCGGGGAGGCCATCTGTTGACTTCAGCAGAACAGTAGGGTCGCAGCTATGTAGGTTCTACAAGGAAAGCAGATTAATAATCCACAAAGAGGAAACTGGCTAAAATTATCCGCAGACCGTATTAAAAAAAAAAAAAAAAGAAAGAAAAAAAAAACAACAAGGGAGTCACTTGAGCTGCAGCTGGACAGGAAATTGCTAGAGCTGCTTGCAAATCTCCACTTTGAACAGAGCAACACAGGGAATGCCAAGAGCGGAAACCGTTCAAAACTGGATTAGCACAAGCCAAGTTTAACTGCAACCCACTTCTACTTTCACAGTTTATGCACTCAATCTAGGTCACTACTGCATGAGACACTGACTCACTTTTTTCCCATGTTTTGTTTGCTTTTCATTTCACACACTTGCAGTTTCTAAAATTACTTGAAATGTGCTCCGGCTGCCAGGAGTTCTGCAGAACCCCAGCCGACAGCCCCAGCTGCAGCATCAGCCCATCAGCGTGGTACTGCACGCAGATTTTGGCACCACCCTACCTTGGGCCACTCCTCATCAGGAAGGATGTTAATGAAAATAAGTTGCAGCAGGAAGTTTTGCAATTGCTAGAATCCCCCTTTTTCCTTCTGCAGAGACAGGACTACTTGAAGGGTCCAAAGAGGAAATGAGGTGACTAAGCGTATATACACACTTTTCCTCCTTGCCTTCACCTGCTAAGTTGCAACATGGCTGAACAGCAACAGAAAAATCATTTACAGGCTGCAGACCATTGATGGATCTCTGTGAAATGAGTTCCTGCCAGATGGATAAGGAAAGCACAAACCCATCTCCTGGCATCTGTAATAGAGTGGCCAAAACTTGTAAACAAACCCAGAAAACAGCAGCTCTTTACTCTTAAAAAAAAAAAAAAATCCTTATGGTCCAGGGTCAGGTGCATCCCTGGGGTAGCAAAAGTATGCCGGAATAATTCGCAATTAACCTAAAGGCCTTCAAAAGCGTTCCCTTCACCAAAGCAAGACAAGAATCCAGCACATGCACTGTTTATTCATTTAGGCACCAGTGGACCAAAGGGGAAATCAAGGCTTTATTGTCTTAGGGGCTGTACAAAAGCTCTTGAAAGCAATCATTACCTTTAAACATAACCATATGTGTATGTGCAATTAACCACACCCACACAGAGGGGAAAGGGGGAATAAACCAGGCAGGTTCTCAATAGCCAAAAATAGTTATTTATTTATTAATAATTTAAGGTTTTACATTCTTATAATAAATTCCATCTTAAAACTTTTACACCGTGAATTAGACTCTCCCTTATTGGCAACCATGTGCAGGTTCACTGTGCGTACACACAGGTACAAATGCTCGCACATACTTCCAGTTTTATACAAAAAAAAAAAGACACAAAATATTGCATTTGAGGTGAAGCTCCCTGAAGAATTTGTACAGAGGTAATGCACTGTTTAGCACATCTGAAAGTTTTAAAAAGTGATCAAAAATCTTTCGCATTCAAAGACAAACCTCCTCCCAGATGATCTATTTACAAAAGGTAAGGCAAAAAATTAATTTAATTTAAAAAATATATATATATATCATGTGGAAACTACATAAAGAGTGTGAGAAAAAAAAAATCACCACAAGGAAAAGAAAGATATATGAAAGAAGAGAATGTACTTGCTCACAAAACATGATTTGCAAACTTCTCACCATTGCCATTTCTCCCTCATGGAAAGCTTGCTTCAGTTGAACAATAAAGTTAAGCATGCTGCAAATATATTCTTTGCAATTAAAAAAAAAAAAAACAAACAAATAAAGCAGAATTTATGAAGAGAACAAAAACACAGATGTCCCTTGGATTGATTTCTTGAATACATGTGAATTTAAAAAAAAAATTGCAAATCGATTTAAGATTAAATATTTACATTGATCAAGTAGAATACTACCGAGCTCCCGGCAAACAAGTACTCCAAATACACTAAGCTGAAATCTCTTTCTTTGGCTCCTCTAAATTAAAACAAACAAACAAACAAAAATAACCAGTCTTCACTGAAGACAGAGATGTGTGTCACAGATCCGAAAGCAGAGAGGGAAGCAGGACAGTTCCAGTCTCTAGAGAACATGTGCTCAGCCTGTCCAGCCTTACCCTACCCCCCTGGAAGTCCTCGGACCCAAGCCACTGCGCAAGTAGGGATGAGTGTGCTGCCCACCTGCTGCCTGGTCACCACGGTCCTTCCCAGAGAGCTCACCACGTTCCCTCCCTTCACAATAGCCGATTCCATACCGCGTAACCTTTCCTAGCCTGCACTGGCAGCTGCTTTTTGATAGCAGAGGCCAGAAAAAGAGAAAGCTGCGTTTTCTTTATCACTGCCAAAGAGAAACCATTGAGGAGTGATCCCATGAAACGGACAGGAGAAGGGAGGTGGTGGGAGCTCACGTGGACTGCAGGGAATCCACCTGGAAGACATTCTGGTTGGAAGGGGTGGTGAAGTACAACTGCTGGTTCGGCACTCGATTGTCACAGGGGCTGCTCAGTCCCAGAGTCCGCTCAAAGTCCAGCAGCTGACCCATGAAGTTGAAGTTGGGTGAAATGTTGGACTTCTTCATCTTGACAATATCGTAGGCATCGTTCATGGACAAGTTGAGCTTCTGCATGAGGTAGGCCACTGTCACTGTGACCGAGCGGCTGATCCCTGCTAGGCAATGCACCAGGACGCCGCAGTTCTTCCCCCGTGCTTCATCTGTAGAGAGACAAAGAGGCAGAGAAGGACACATAAGACAGGGGGTCGGTAACTGATCTCTCAACACAAGTGAGATTAGTATCAAGTAGGAAGAAAGGACGATTCTGATCCCAGCGGCCAGCAGTGCAACGCAAGAGTTAACTTCATCAGCTTAAAACCAGGACGAGGAGAATCCACCCCGCTACGTATATGTACCCGAGTCGGAGTCCCAAGAGCTGAGAAAACTAAGAATGAGACAAAGGGAGCAGGATACGCTGCATGACACTGTTTTAGAAGTCAGTTTCAAAAGACACGCTTTGGCCTGGAGATTTGCCTTAAATTCTTACACTCCCCTTGCCCCAGCATGGAAATCCTGCAATATGTCACTGAATGCCTTTTATACAGGCCAGCAGACTGCAAAGGTCTATTAAATTATTCTCCAACTGTTGTGCAGCTAACAATGGAGGTATTCAGGCATTTTAAAAGAATGAGGGAAGTCACAGGGGACAGCCCATTAGGAGGAACAGGATGTCAACATTGGTTGAAAATGGGTTCCTTTGTAATAGGAAATGCATTACAATGCCTGGAGATTACTTTCTTTGTGGCTTCCAGCCCACATTTCTTCCTGCTGGGCTCAGGTTACCTACATTCTCCACTATTACCGGTATCATTCAACCGGATTACAGCACAGCTTCCCAACAGATAATGCGGTGCCCACCCCACCGCACCCCGATGGGATGATTTTAGTCCTCCCCGAAACGAGGGAGAGTGAAAATTTTAACCAGAACTCCTTGAGCCCAGGGAGACGCGTTTCCAAAGCTGACAGATAATGTCTAAGGGCTGGTTAACCGAGGCACCGAGCCCGAGAGGTCTATCATTATTACCACGAGATTTAATTAAAGCCCTGACTATACATTTGCCAGGGATACCGCCTATGAATAACTTGTATTTAAAAGCTAAAGTTAGCTTCCCAGATCGTTTCTTTTTATTATACTGCTCTTCAGTAACCTCAAGAAGAAAAAAATAGCAACAAAAAAAAGAAAGGCGAATCAGCC